TTCTCAGAACATTCTGGCAAGGTTGTGAACATGAAAGGTATGCATGTTTCATTTAAGTTTTTTTTTTTTTAAGTTCCAGTTCCAATAATGTTACTAGAATGTTTGTTCAGTTATCTGGTCTTAAATAATGTTCTCAAAATGTAACACACAAAACCATTTATACATTCAACCATTCTGAAACAATTTATTTGGGTGTTCATCTAACTTTTTTTTTTATGTTAATATTTTTTATAGAATGTTCAGAGAACATTCAAAAGTAACAATTCCATAATGTTTGCAAAATACTGAAATGGAATGTCCAATTTAAAAAAAACATTTAAACAGGTGGATGTTTTGAACATTCAGAAAACATTAGAAATAACATTTCATAACTTAACAGAAGTGTTACCACGTTCTTAGAATATATTTTGTTAGCTGGGGTAATGGCTGCTGAAATATAGAACAGTTACATATATTTCACAGTATTACTGTTTTTACTGTATTTTTGATCAAATAATCGCAGCCTTTAAGTTTAGTTTCTCGATATTTAAAAATAATAATTTTCAGTTGATGAGTGAACAAAACTTCACTCAACGTGTAACGCCCTTACCATCCAATATTCGCATTAAACTTTGCGTTTTGTTTTGATTTGAATTTTAATATGAAACAATGTCTGAACTTTCAAATTGTTCCAATTTTATCACGATATTCAAACAATAAATTTGGTTTTGGCGCTCTATAATGTGTCGTGACAGATTGCTGTATTTGCCTCAATTCAAGCGGCAAGTGATCCAATCATCGCTTCCTCTATATTGCAAGTTAAAACAAGAAATAAACATATATGAACATCAAAAGGTATGTATGATGAAAGAAAATGAATAACTTACTGAAATGTGTCATGCCTCGTGTAATCGCTCAATCCGTGTTTCTACCATGGAAACACGTCAACAAAACTTGTTGTATAAACTTGTAAATATGGAAGGCAGATAAGGCCAAAAGTTTTTAAACGGAAGATGTGAAATCTGACCGTATCATACTACCTCAGGAAAGCTCTTCAATGTCCATAAACTCCATAACATAACTCCAGAGAGCAGCATTTTGTACAATATGTGCACTATATTACATATTCATTATATTTTTTACCAGTTGTCTTTAATTTCGAATGGATGTTTGAATAAATGTGTCATGAAAACGTGTTTATTATCATCAACGTTTAAATGTTTATATTTCAGCAACCAGCTAGAAATATAGGATAATTATATCATTAAAAAGTAGATATAAAAACTTCTTTACATGCAAATTAAAGATGAATAATTAATCAAGTAAATGTGATTAATTATTCGGTTATAAAATAATAAAATTGTATTTTCGTTTTCATTGTGTCAGTTTCGGTGTTTCTAATTTTAACAATATGCAGCTGTTATGTTTATTATATATTATTTATTTATTCACTTTTATTTATTTGTATTTTTTTGAGGATGGGGCATCATGTAATCACCATCAGATTTTATTGTTCCCCTACCTCCAAAATCTCAGTTGATCAGCAGCTCTGCTGGGCTTCAGTAGTCATCCGATGGCTCTGTGAGGCTTGCAGTGTGAAACAAAACATTCCCTCCTTCAGTAATGAGGCTGCCAGCCAGCCTTCCCCCCTCTCTCTCGCTCTCTCTCTCTCTCCAGACTCTGGTTTCTCTGTTGTGTGTATGTGTGTGCATGTCTCTTTTTTCACTCTTCTCATCGCTGGCTCAATTCTAGCTACAGAAATAAGCAGGAGACAGGAGGGAAAAGATACTGTCAGGATGTGCTGCTGCTGCAGGTTTAGGGAATCTGTGTGAAATCTGTCCAATCCAACAGGCTCAACACAGCAGGAACAGGTTTATTACACGCCAGAGCAGAAAACTAGATTTTCACATTTTATAAAGACAATGAAAGTGGTGCTTACCTGTGCAAAACTCACCATGCTGTGGATGGTTGACAGGGCATTGCTATGTGGTTGCTATAATGTTCTGAGTGGTTGCATATTTTCAGTATTTGCTATGCTAGATTCTCGGCTGTTTCTGTGCAGTATGTAATATTGGCAGCTAGAGGTTGAAATGGGTACAGCAGTCCAAATTCAAAATATTGGAGAGAGTTGTTTCTCCTAGCCCCTCATCCTCAGACTCGACGCTCAGACGGGTTGCCAGATTGAGGACAAGCAAAAGGAATGAGTACAATTGACCCTCCACAGTGAGTTTGACTGACAGGTGAGTTGACAGGAGAATAGGTTACCGTCGGTGGACTTGAACTTGAAAAACTGTGTGTACTGACGTTTTTCCGCGGTTGAAATAAAATACCTTCTCATGTTTATTTCATGCTATAAATAGTAAAAAGGAAGAGATGATCGGTTCATGTGCCGCTTGAACTGAGGTGCTGCGGCGATCAGTCACGACACGAAAATGGTATTATTGTTTGAATTTCTTAAAAAAAAGACAATTTTAAAGCTGAGACTTTGATTCATACCTAAAGTAACCTGCTCTGTCTTGTCTGTTGGCTCATTGTCAGTGTCCTCTTTGCTCCGCGATGTGTTTGTGACTGTATGTAACATGATGTGTGGCGTGAGAGCGGCTTAGCTTGTCAAACATAGCAACAGTAACTAAGGGGGTCGGGTCTTTGCGAAGGGTCAACTGATAGTAGAAGGGGATGAGTCTTCTACTGAAAGTTGATGAGTAGATTTATCTGCGTTTTAATATTTCTCTGCTCACATAGCTTTTTAGTTGGATGCCAAGATTTTTTGAGTCTGGTAGAATCTGCGATCTCGGACTCAGTTTGTTTGCTGGCGTCCATGGCTACAATACGCTGTGTTTTCCACCAACTGGCAACCCTGGGAGTCAAAATCCTATTGGGTAAACTGGCATTGGGCAGTATTTTTATCCAGCACCTTTCTTTTTCTCCTGGATACTTCATTGTAAAAACAAGATTTATTTATTTTTTAGTCTGTTCTTAAAATCCGAGCGGCATTGAGCCTTTGAGTCTGATTTCGTGTTATTTTCAGTCATGCTGTGTCCTTGTACTTTGATTAATACATTCCTGAAGCTGAGGTAGCCGCTTTATGAGTGCAACTCTGAAAACTCATCTCAAGTTTCCTATTTGTTTTCTTTCCTGAAGACACTCAATCAAACACAGACAAAATGGACTTCCTGGAAGGTTGAGGTAGAATTCAATTAGTAGTTTGTTTTTTTCCCCTCTGCTTCCATCTGGGGTCCTGTGAGGCCTGGTGATCAATGGCAGTGAGGAGGAGGACAGGAAAGCAGAGGAGGATGTGTGCTCTAACGCTTATCACTAATTGAGTGCTTTGAGGATCGCAGCGAGCATAAGCTTGATATAGAGCAACAACGGCTGACCACTTCTTCAGTGGCCTGGGTTCTGGAAGTATATTTTCCCCATTTATTTTCTCCATATGTCAAACCAGCTCTGAGATGAAAGTGTGTGAAAACACCAAAAACTCTTTTATGTGGGAATCTTCCTACTGTAGCATACGAAATGGATTAGAGTCAGAAATTTGACTTATATTTGAATTTTATATTTGAAATATATATACTGTATATATATATATATATATATAGGACAATATTTGGTCGAGATACAACTATTTGAAAATCTGAGGGTGCAAAAAAATCTAAATATTGGGAAAATCGCCTTTAAAGTTGTCCAAATGAAGTTCTTAGCAATGAATATTACGAATCAAAAATGTATAGATTTACAGTAGGAAATTTACAAAATATCTTCATGGAACATGATCTTTACTTAATATCCTAATGATTTTTGGCATAAAAGAAAAATCGATCATTTTGACTCATACTATGTATTGTTGGCTTTTGCTACAAATATACCCCAGCCACTTAAAAGACTGCTTTTGTGCTCCAGGGTCACATATATAAGAATTATAATAAGTTGTATATATTAAATAATATTTATAATCAGTTGTAATGGGTACAAAATATATATTCGAATTATATTTTATTTATTCATGTAATATTTCGTTTATAATTAATATATTAATAATCAATTTAATTGGAGAATATTCATGGGTCAAAGATGAAATGGGGTTTTCAAACATCGCAACAGTAAAAGTATAATACGACCCCCCCCCTGTACATTAGAATGTTTCCTGTTTCATTTTATTTTTCTGACCAAAAATAATGACTGTCATACATTTTTACTGTGATTTACAAAAGACACCCATTAGGATATCATCGAGTGTAACAATAGTTTACATACAAGAAATTCTTGTCATGTATTTTTAGAACAACAATCGGTAGATTACATTAAAAAAAACTCTATTTAAGGATCACAGTGCAGTCCCTAAAAATTACTTTAACTGTAATTTTAATCTTTACCAATCTTTGCCACTATTCTTCAAATCACTAGGTTTTACCCATTTGTCAGCAGGTAATTTTTAATAATTTAAAATATAATAAAATGTAGTATGATCACTTTTTCTTTTATATATTTTAATAAGTACAGGTCAGAATAAGAACGTTATTTAATTTTTACCTAAATATATCTGTTATTCTCAATGATGATGGACCCATATCATTGACATTTCATTTTCACAAAAGTTATTTTAAATATTAAAGTAGATACTTTACTTGCATTTAATATGCTTTCTATGTATATAAAATCACTTTTGTAAATAAAATTTGACCCGCATATATTTATCTATATATATATAGAATATTCTGCAATAAAATAAAAAATATAAATATTAAAACAATAAATAAAATGTAAAAATATGGGAGACTTGATTACATCATTTGCATGGTTTATGGAAGTGTAAAGTCACTTATGGATGTGTAATGTTATAGTAACAGTGACTTGATCAGTGAGTCTCTTTCCAGGATTATTAGTAAATACTATTTTCTGGAAATGTAGTTGAAATCACACTGACTGAAACATGTCTCATCCAAATGCATTTATCACTGGAATAACACAATATGTCATTGAAATGAATGGGATTTTTTACTTGCACTCTTTGTCTGGTGCAGCCTGACGGCAGCCATGAGTGGAATTCTGAAGAGGAAGTTTGAGGAGGTGGAGGGGGCGTCACCCTGCTCCTCACTGAGGGAGTCTGAGGAGGAGGAGATATCCAGCACTGAGAGCGGAGACAGCAGCGACAGCGTCAACCCGTCAGCCTCGCACTTCAGCCATCCTTCAACAGCATCATCCTCATCCTCAACACACGCACTGCAGCGGACAGGTGAGACTCATATCAAACGAAATATTCAGAAAGCTGTGACAATCCAGCATTATTACAGATCAAATATCTAAATGAAAGAATAACAGGCTTTCTGCAGGATTGATGAAGATAAATGGAAGACTTCTGAAGACCAAGAAAATTTAAGGACAAAAAAAAAAATGGAACATAATACATAAATATGGTCTATAAGTGTAAATTGCTAAAATTACATCAAATAAGAGGTCTTGTTTAAAGGATCAAAATTAAGTGAGTTTTAGGCTTGCCGCGATGCTGACGGTGATACCGGTGTTAAGCCGCAACACCGGTTACGTCACTTGCCCACCGCGTCACCGACCCCCACCGTTGTTTAGATTTTTTATAGTAATAATAATCATTTAGTTCAGTAAAAGAACAGACACTACAATTAAAAACTGAACGCGGCTGCTCAATGCAGCGTGCCGAACGACAGTCACATCACAGATCAGATTTCATTTCTCCAGTGAGGAGAGCGAGTCGAGCTGACTGACAAGAAGAGTGAGGTGAGACAGACAAGACGATCGCGGATGATTTAGTTTCAAAACGAGATGCAAAAGCACCTGTTTGGCAATATTTTGGATTTTGAAAAGTCTTGTTGACTTTTGCCGTTTATCTAAGATGATATTGGAAGTTTTTTTAAACATTAGTTTCTTATTTAATTGGTTCCACATTGTTTGCTGAATCTTACTTTATTTAAACTTTGTGTCATATATTTATTTTATTTGGCATCAAGGTGGATGCTGTGCCTCCAAGCTTTCTTACTCGTTTTGCTAAGAAACGTTCTATGTTTCTTATTTATTTGGTTATATATTATGCATGTTTACTTGTTTCCAGTTTTGAACATTTAAACTTTATGCAAGTTATTTGTTATTTTATATTAGGCATAGCCTGCCCTATAGCATGGTGTATTTTTATTTGTTTTGTTAATAAAAGTTCTATGTTTTATATATATGTAAAAAGTGAGTTTGACGTTGTATTTTGTTGTTGCATTCAAGCAATTGACGCCGAACTGCCGCTAATTCGAAAGTGAAAGTAAAATGCACACAACGCTTTTAAGCGATTTAAAAGTGAAGGAAAGCGAGGAAAAGAGGGAAAATTCAAACGAACTAAAAAGGAACAATTGCTTTACTCCGAATTGCCGCTATTTGAAAGTGAAAGTAAAATGCACACAACGCTTTTAAGCGATTTAAAAGTGAAGGAAAGCGAGGAAAAGAGGGAACGCCCCCGCAGTGATACCGGTATTACCGGTGTTGTCACGCGTCGATTAACCCGTGGGAAAATTTCCTCACCGTCACAACCCTAGTGAGTTTATGATTCAAACCAGAACAAATATCTGCCATTGGGCTCAGAAAAATTCACTTAATTCAAAGGAAAAAAAAATGTAATTCCCCATTGACAGATATTTGATATAATCTTAATAATCATAATCTTTGTTCAAATTTAAAAGACTTCACTTTACATTTGCATCTCCAATGTAATGTATCTTGATTTAAGGATGTTTTAGATATTTGTATTAGAAAACAAAAATGTGTGCAATGCATTCAATGTTTATGCCACAACTTTAAGACTGTCTGCTCTGATTTAAGTTACTTATGGAAACTTGTTTCTGCCACAGGATTAAAAAAAGGGTAATTGCGACTTTTTATCTCACGATTCTGACTTTTTTCTCACAGTTCTGTCTTTTTTCCACAATTGGAAGATATATATAAACTTAGAATTTCGAGTTATGAATAACTTGCAAATCTGAGAAGAAAAGTCAGAATTCAAAAGAAAAAAAAAAAGAACTCTCAGAATTGAGTTTATATTTTGTATTTATACTCATAAAGAGAAAAGCTGCCAGGTCTTAAAACTAAGAATTAATGCAAAACATGTCTCTGATGTTAAAGTAGTAGTTTACCTAATGTGTAATTTTGTCATTATTTACCCACTGTCACATAGTCCCCAAAAAATGTATTCTGTTATTTTTTCTGTTGAACACAAAAGGAAAAAAACACAACATTCCATTCCACATATGAAAACAAATAACATGAAAGTAAACACTTTTACTTTTTGGTAAGCTGTTCCTTTAAAACTAATGACAGCTGGCACAAAATTGTTGTGTCGTTCCTTTAAAGCACTGAATTGTGGGTATATGAGAAAGAAGATGGGAAATACCGTTTCCCAGAGAATGTCCCCAGGGAAAACTCTAGCTCGAAATTGGTAGCAGAAAAGAGAAAATGGCCCTTTGAAAGGAAAATTCATCACTGAGATTTGATATTGATCGTCATCATGCTTGTCTGAAGGGGGCTTGAGAAAATATCCATCATCACAATGAACGTAAAACATCTGGCCTCATGCCGCTAAGAAGCTGAAGTGCGCATGAGCCCGCATTTGACTTCATGATAAGCTGAAGAGCAGTTCACCTGAAAAGCATCAGTCATCATTTCTAGAAAGATGCAGTATTTGGGAAGCTTTTTTGTCAGCAACTTCTAAAATAAATAGAGATTAATTAACGCCCAATAAAGGAGGGCAGTTGACGCTCTTCAGCTCTTAGTTCTCCATCACCTCTCTTTTGTGATGCTCATTCACTTTGATTCTGTCATTAAAAATGTGCACCAGATGTCTGCGGATGACCCACGCTGCAGCGAGTCCCAGAGGACGTCTGTTTCCTCCTTTAGAAAGCGCTGCTCTTTCAGCACAGCTTCAGAGAGAGGTGATGGGAAATGTAGCTCATAATCGTAAATTACTGACAATCAGATCAACCTGCTGAGCTGGATCCTTGGAACTATTTTCAGCAAAGTAAACATGATGAATAGCCAGTGACTGTTAGATGCAAACCCTGTGGCGCATCTGAGGGCATTTCACATGGTATGATAATGATTGCCATATTCATATACCTAGGTATGCACATGATATTGCAACCCATTTAAAAGTTTGGGGTTGGTAAGATTTTTTAAAATGATTTTGAAAGAAGTCTCTTTATGCTCATTAAGGCTGCATTTAAAAAAACACAAAGAAAAAAAAACAGTAAAAACAAGAATGTATTGTGAAATATTATTAAAATTCAAAATAGCTGTTTTCTATTTGAATATATTTTTTAAAAATGTAATATATTCCTGTGATCATTACTCCAGTCTTCAGTGTCACACGATCCTTCAGAAATCATTCTAATACGCTGATTTGCTGCTCAAGAAACATTTCTGATTATTATCAAAGTTGTGCTGCTTCATATTTTTGTGAAAACCTTTTTTCTATAGAATATTATATAGGATAAATATAAAGTTATAAAAAACAGCATTTATATATAAAAATATTTTTTTACATTATAAATGTAAATATCACTTTTGATCAATATAATGCATCCTTATTGTGTTTTGCACATAAACTGATGCCTATTTTAGGACTTTTTTTTGCATTGAGACATTGTTTTCTTAAAGTTACTTAATTACAGTAATGAGAATCTAATGAGAATCACCACTGAGAATAACGAGAAGCACAAAGAAAATACAAAAGTAAAACATTTCGATTCATTACTGTATTGAGAATTTGGGTGGAAAAACGACTTAATTGACATGAAAATAATGAAAACCAGCATCAATTTCTTTATGCAGAATAAACTATTATTTTTCTCATTTTATTTTAGGGGTGAAATTTATGGAAGCTTACTTCTGCAACAGAGTATATTTAAATATTTACATATAATTTGCAATTGCAATTGAACAATTGTGACTTTATCTCACAATTCATACTTTTTTCACAGAATTCAGATTTTATATCTTGCAATTTTGAATCTTTTTTTCACAATTCTGAACTTACATCTCACAATTCTGACTTTTTTCATCAGAATTCCCAGGTTTAAATCTCGCAATTCTGATTTTTTTTTTTTTTAATTCTCAGAACTAGGTAAATACTAGAAAAGAATGTCCAAAGAAAAAAGACTTTTAAACAAGATACATATCACTCACACCTAATTCTTCTTCCACACTGAGCCCCTGTACTTAGAAAGCTCTGTTTGCAGTGAATGGCTGTGCTTCAGTTCTGCTGGAGTTCCTGAGTCAGACTGGGTTAAGTGCAGTGCACACATTCATGTGTGTCTGTGTAATGTATTCTGCTGGTGGTTCTGGGCGGGGGACCGGCAGCAGCAGATGGTTCTTATTTGTCCTGTTTGTGTCAGACATGAAGGGAGCTGTGGGAGAGAGTATCAGGGAAACTCCACTCTTGTGGAGGCCAAAACTGGGGATATTTATACAGGGTATATTTACCATCCCCCTTTAAATAGCCAAACAATAGGAGCCGGTGGCGTGCAGAGAACTGAAGGAGCCGCTAGAGGCGCACTGAGGAGGATAGCTTACTAATACAGCTGCATGACATAGCTTACAAAGAATATATTTCAATATTTTAATAAGTAAACACTACTGAAAAAATATTTCCATTTCAAATAACTGCTGTTTTTTTTTCTATTCATCAAAGAATCCTGAAAAATGTATCAAGGTTTCCATAAAAAATATGAAGCAGCACAACTGTTTTCAACATTGATAATAATCCGAAATGTTTCCTGAGCCGCAAATCAGCATATTAGAATGATTTCTGACGGATCATGTGACACTGAAGACTGGAGTAATGATGCTGAAAATTCAGCTATGCATCACAGAAATAAATTAAATTAAAAAAAATATTCACATAGAAACCAATTATTTTAAATTGCAGTAATATTTCACAATATTACAGTTTTTAATGTATTTTTATCAAATATGTAAAGCCTTGGGCAGCATAAGACACTTCTTTTAAAAATAAACAGGAGTGTTTCTGACTGTTTTTCACTACATTTTTTTTTTATTCTTATCCACCAATATAATACCTAAAAATCTATCTATCTATCCATCCATCCATCCATCCATCTTTTTTACACACATTTTAAAGCAAGTAAAATGCCATGCAGAGGCAATGTTAAATTAATTGTTAAATCAGAAGGATTTTGAATAAATTAGTTTGAATCTAAAAGAACAGATTTGTTGACTCAGACTTCTGAACAATCTCAGTTAGGAGGTTTAAATCAAAGCCACTATATACTGAATATGCATTATTGTATGGTGCTAGCAACGTCAAGGTCATGGGTTCAATTCCCAGGGAATGCATGAACTGATAAGGTAAACCATGAATGGAAAAGTTGCTTTGGATAAAAGCATCTACCAAATGCATAAATGTACATGTAAATGCATACATTTAATATAAATTAATCATTGTGAAATTCACAATATCAGTACTTTTATATAGTCAATAAAATCAAATATATTGTAAATATTTAATGCATAACCCAGCCCTATTTCCCAGTCCACGAATCGCTCAAGACGTACTGCACTGTTACTGGAAAGATGCATATCAGTGTCCTCCAAATTGAATAACCGAACTGTAATTTTATTTACCTTTAATGTCTTTCTAGCGTCCTCGATACTGAAGCGGGAGAAGCGGATGAGGACGAGGAGGGTGCACTTTGAGAAGGTGACGGTGTATTAGACACGGCATCTTATCAAGACAAGGTTAATGACTCCAGTAGGGTCATGTCTCAGGGTCCTTACAATGTGACCGCTGACCAATACACAGACTACTCCCAGCAGCCCGAGCAGCCATATGCCAATCACCACCTGGCCGTGATTGGCTGTTGCGCCTCAGAGCCGGATAAAAGTGTCCAATCCAAAGGGACCTTCCTCAGCCAATCAGGAGAGCTGAGCCAGATGGAATTCCAAAACTATCTGAACAACAATACACAGGATACGAGTTACAACGCCAACGGGAGCTGTTTCATTGCTGAACAGCCAAAGGAGATGTCTCACAATCTGCCCGAAGTTTCGCTAGCGGACAACACGAAAGGACCTACTTTACTGGACGCTTTCGCTGAGCCCACTCCGGTTTAGATTCAGAGAGCGGAGCGAGAGTATAAAAGCAGCTTTCGATTCTGCACATTAACGTTTCGTTTTCCTGTTTAACGTTTGGCGGATCCAAAAATATGTATTTTTACTGAGCTTTGCAAAGAACAAAAACGATTTAAACCGCAAAATCAGAGCGTATGAGCTTTAGGTTGGAAACACTCTACGCAAGTACGTTAACGCAAACGCTTCTAGCTACGCAAGCTTGATTTCAATAATGAAATGGGTCTTATTCACTAATAATTGCGTGGAATATTTTGCATTTGTACAAACAGGAGAACTGCCTATGTGCGTTCTCAACCTCAACTGACTTTAGAAATTTGCATAAAACACGCCTAAGCCATCTCCATATAAGGGTATTTTTCACACAACCTTTTTTTTTTTCTTCAACATTCTTTTATCGCTTTCAGCCAGGGTCATCTGTAACGGGGAGAAAGGTGGTGACAATCCATCTTAACATGATTATAAAATGATTAATTTCATCTTAACATGATTATAATGCCACCAGTATTTGGTTTTTTCATACATGTGGTTTCAGTTGCTCCAATTTTTTCCCGTAAGTGTACATTAAATTTTAGTACGAAAGTTCTTGATTTGTTCATGAAACATTCGTACACAGATTTCAAGCACACATTCATGCATACAAGTGCTTAGTGATAAATGAGACCCATTGTTTTTAAATCAACAGACATTAGTAGGTATTATAGCGCCCCCTTGAGGTTTATTACCACTAGAGCAAGAACTTAAAGGGACAGTCCACCTAAAAATGAAACACTGTCATGATTACTCACCCTTACGTCATTCCAAACCTGTTTTGGACAGCAAAAGAAGATATTTAAAAAAATGAAAAATGAAAAAAAAAATGTTGTCCATAAATTGAAGGTAAATAGGGTCCAATATTGCTTGGAGTCCAACGTTGTTCACACTAACTTCTTGTATGTTCTGCAGAAGAGAGAAAGTTTGGAAAGACATGAAGGTGAAAAAAAGACAGAATTGTAATTTTTGGGTGAACTTTAGGTCCACGCTTGCAAAACGTTGGCCAAGCGTTTACGTACTGGCATAAAGTATATTCCTGGCCTTAGGCTCGTGCAATGTTTCTTGTAATTTCAAAAGTTCTAGTTTTGAGCAGAGATGTGGACAGAACTTTTCTATGTATCTGTGTCAGTGGTGCAAAAAAAAGAAAATAGAAAAAAAAAAGATTGTTGCTGTTAGTGTTCTGAAGTAAGTCTATATCTAAATGTTTGATAAAAGCATGTTTTTTTTAAGCTTTCATCGCTGGTTTATGGTTTTGTAAGAGTTCGATGTACTGTAAAAGAGAAAATAATACTGTTGCGTTTTCGTACACATACTTCATGCTTTAAAGAGTTGGTGAAAGCATGAAAACGGCTCTTAAAATGTGTGCTGTTCATTTGCCTTTGCTTACAAAACCAAAACCATGACATTTAAGTTGTGAACACGATACATTTCCTCAACATAATTGCACTTTTCCATTGGCTGATATTATACAGAATCGCAACCAATTGTTACCTGAGCACTAAAGGGGGCGGGGCTATCTGGTACCGTGCCATGACTATGGCTGTGTTTGGAATGGAATACTTGCTGACTACTTACTGCGTAGTATATGATCTGTATACTATGGAAGCTTGTTTCCACCACAGGATAAAAATTTTTTTTATTGCATTTTTTATCTCAAATTTTTTTTTGCTTATAATTCTGAAGTTATCTCACAATGGTGACTTTTTTTTCTCAGAACTGCAAGATATATATGTCAGCGCTGTTAGCCTTGTGGGCAGTGCGTCGGCTTGAGGACCTTTCCCGATCCCGCCCCCCTCCCTCTCCCAATATGCTTCCTGTAAACTCTAAACTATCCCATCACAATAAAAGGAAAAAATGCCAAAAAATAAATATAAAAAAGAGATATAAACTTATATTTATGACTGAATTCACAATTCCGAGTTTATATCTTGCAGTTGTTTTTAGTTTCCGCCACAAAATAAAAAAGTGAATTGTGGCTTTTATATTCAATTCTGACTTTTCTCGCAATTGGGAGTTTATATCTCACAACTCTAAGTTGACATCTTGCAATTCTGAGTTTATATCTTGCAATTTTTTAAAATTTTTCTCAGAATTCTGAGACAAAAAAGTCTGAATTGTAAGATATAAAGAGATATTTACCTTATAATTTTTCATCTCGTGGCAGAAACAAGCTTTCACTAGCAACTATTTTAAAATAATAATGAAAAATGGAAAAAGTTAGTTTACCTATTTTCATATAAAAAGTCATATGAAACATTTGAGATTAAATAATGTCTAGGAAAAAAAAAATAAAGAAAAACAAAATTGTCCCTCATGTTACTTTTGTGAAGTGCACCACATTTTTGGATACAGTATGGTGTGCAGTACATACTGTGTATATATAGTAGTATGTTAGCACGCTATTCCGAGCACAGCCCTAAATGATGTTTTAATAACATATCTCCAAGTTTTTAGTGGAGACATGAAGGATGATTTTTCCATGACACTAACAAAAAAAATATATCATATCTATCTGCATTAGTTTAAAATGGCAGATAGTAGACAGAAGGTAGTTAGATAACAGATTTAACTTTTTAAACCAGATTACCAGAATGAAAATGATTAGACACTTTGTCTTATGAAACTCTGAGATACTAAAGTCTTAAATTATCTTTGGGATTATAAAGGGATTTCTGATGAAATGCACTTTGAAATGCATCAAGTTACTGCGAACGAAGCATTCCGTTTCTGTCAGGCGAAGATGATTTTTAAAAGTGTTTAAATGACGAAGTCTAGAATACAAATGAACTCATATCAGGTTTGTACAAGGTAATACTTTACATTTATTGCATAACTGAAAGCATTGAATGGATGGAGGCCAGGAAGGTGATTTTTCTCAATTTATAGTGATAAATATTTTATGGCATGATGTGAAAATATTCTCTCAATAGCTTAAGATTTTGAGAGGAAAAAAGAGAATAATTCTTGTCATGGTTATTTAATTTAAAAATCAGCTTTGACTGAATAAATCATTCTGAAGAGTAATTTGTGAAGTGCAATAGTTTACAGTGTGATAATGCCACACATGAAAGCTAATGTTCATTGAAAGGAGTGAATTTATTTCACATCAGATTTCCTCCCGTGTTAAAGGGAAAGTTCACTCAAAAATAAACATTCTGTCATTATGTACTCACCCTCATCCAGGTCATTCCCAACTCGAATGCGGTTCTTTTGTCTCCTAAAAAAAAGAGAAAACTCTTCATGTTATGACATGAGGGTGTTTAAATAATCACAGAATAATCATTTTTGTGTGAAATATTACCTTAAAGCACTGACGAGTTGAGATGAAGCTGTTTTTAACGCACAAACCTTATGATGCATCTGTCAGTTTGTTTATCCGCTTGATGAAAGAGAGTCATTGTCCAATGGAGAATGTCCCTCAATAAGCTCAAGACAGGACAATCAAATGCCTTTTATGTCATCAACATTGTAGCGTGACCTCACCTCGTGGGGCGGTAATGAAATAACCAGATCCTTAAAGGTGAAGTGTGTTGTTTAAAAACTTGTATCCCAGCTTTAACATGCAGAACTATAGGTAGGACCTTTAACCTTACACATTAAACAACTCTTTATGCTACAAACATGAAATATACCTCAAAATGCTTTGCTTTGAGTGGTGTGCGATTACCTTTCCGTATGGAAACTCATTTTCGGCACATAATATTATCATACATTTCATAAATATGACATTTTAAATTATGACTAAAAGTTTACATTTAAAAATCATAATTGTGACAAAATCATAATTATGACATACTAAGTCATAAATATGAGATAGTCAAAATTATGACATACTAACTCATCAATATGATACTAAAATAATCAAAACTATGACAAAATTATAATATAGTCATAAAGTCATAAATTGCCGTAAAAAGTCATAATTTTGACTTTTTGTCACTTTCCCCTTTTGACATCATAATTATGACTTTTTATCGCCAAATTCCAACTGTTTATCTAATCATTTTTACTTTTTGTCAATTTTGTCTTTGGATGTCATAATTTGGACTTTTTCATCTCATAATTCTGACTTTCATCGACTTTTTGTCACAATTGTGACTTTATACCTCAGTATTTTGTCACTTTTTACTTTTAAAGTCATATTTAAGACTTGTCATAATATTGAACAATTTCGAGCATCCACCCAAAACATCCTAAAAAAACACCCGTGGCTGCCACTGCCAGTGGTGCAGAAATGACATACTTCGCCTTTAAAGATAAAACAAATAAAGACAGAGACAGACAGATGACAAGACAGAGACAGACAGACAGACACAGAGACAGATATACAGACACAGAGACAGACACAAAGACAAGACAGAGAGAGACAGACAGATGACAAGACAGAGAGACAGACACAGAGACAGATATACAGACACAAAGACAGAGACAAACACACACAGACAGACAGACAGACACAAAGACAGAGAGACAGACAGACAGAGACAGACAGATAGACAGACAGACACAAAGACAGAGACAGACAGATGACAAGACAGACAGACAGACAGATAG